GTATTGGACCGGGCACTGTCCCGAATGGTCCCGAATCATGATACCGCACTTGTGTCCCTTTGAACTTCAGTCGTATAATAAATCTCTTATTAACCAAGCTTGCTCGGGACCGTACTGGGAGAATATCGGCCCTCGGTCTTTTTTGTAAAGACCTCGGGCCGATATTCTCCCGGTACGGCCCTCGCACTTGGTCAATAAGATATATTTAACGACTGGGCAAAATCTCGTAACAAGAGAAATCCTACGGATGTAATTCTGTTAGACTTCTCCAAAGCGTTTGACAATGTTCCACACAGACGTTTGCCTCATAAATTAGAAAGACACGGTATTGACGACCCTCTTCTCAATTGGTTTCAAAGTTTTCTTAATTGGTCGGTAGCAACGTGTTGTTTTGCGCGGCAGCTATTCGTCATGGACTCAGGTAAAATCAGGCGTACCTCAGGGAACAATTTTAGGGCCCATCTTGTTCATAATGTACATCAACGATTTATCAACTGGAGTTCTTTCCGCTGTGAAATTGTACGCAGACGACAGTAAACTCTATAGGGAGATAGTGAACATTCCTGAGGATACGCATGTGCTACAATCTGACTTGTTTCGTCTCACTGAATGGTGTAAAACCTGGCAGTTGAAATTTAATCCCGATAAATGTGAAACAATGAGAATAACGCACAAACAAGATTAGTCGAAAGGGAGCTATACACTTGATCCAAACGGTGAAATTCTAAAGAGTGTGAAAAATATCCAAGATCTCGGTATTACAGTATCGTTCGATCTATCACGGAGTGATCACATTCACGAGGTGGTCAACAAAGCCAACAAAAGTCCTTGGGGTAATTAAGCACGTGCTTGGGTCTAATCGCGTAAATGAATTCTCTTTACTATACAAATCTTTAGTAAGGCCGATACTAGAGTATGCGGTTCCAGTGTGGTGTCCCTTTCTGGTAAAGGCATTGTTTTGCTGGAAAAAGTCCAGAGAAGAGCGTCGAGACTGGCTCTAGGCCAAAAGAGAGGCAAAATGGACTACGAGGAACGTTGCTCCGTTTTAAAGTGGTCACAATTAAAGAATCGAAGACTGTATTTTTCTCTAAAGGCTGATAGTTTGTAGTTTTCTCTGATCGAATGTTATAAATGTATATTTTCTCTCAGTAATCTCGAATTCCAAGACTTTTTCCAGTTAGCGTCAAATCGAAGAACAAGTAATCACAATTACAAGCTGAGGTTTTAAGCATCCAGTTGTAACTGTTACAAATATTCATTTTTCGTGAGAATTGTAAAAGAATGGAACGATTTACCTGAGTGGGTTGTAAGGGCGGGAAATCTCGCATGTTTTAAGCGTTCTTTAGGTTCATTTTTAAATATTTCGTAGTGTTAGAATCTTAATATTAGAATATTTTTTAAGATTTTTCTTTTGGGAGTTTTTTACATAGGGCCAACCTTCTAAACTCCCTTTTTAAAGCATCCTTTGTACATTTATCTTTGTTTTCAAATGCTTTGAATAAACGTATATGTATGTATGTATGTATGTATGTATGTATGTAGAGGTGAATTTCAAAATAGGAAATTAGCTCTTCAACAGAAACCGAAGACGAACCAATGAATCTTGCCTTTTGTTACACAATACCAACCATCAGTGCCAAACCTAAAGCAAATTCTCATGAAAAACTGGCATTTAAAAGAAACACAACCACTACTGAGCGAACTATACAAAAATCCGCCGCTGGTATCTTACAAAAGAGGGCGGTCGCTCAAAGACAAACTCGTGGGGGCCAAACTTTGAATAGGCTATTCTAAACACGCGCTGTAGAGTCGTGAAGGCCTGTCAATCCCATTTCACATTGAATAAACCCATGGCTTACAACAACGCATTTCGCAAGATTTGCACCATTTAGGTGTTAACGGTAAAACCTTTTCGAACGTGACCAAAAATCATTTTCCAGACGCTTTCTGTCAATTCATAATATTCACGGCTAACTAGCCAAAGAAAGCAACATCAGCGCGAGGTTGATATTTTTTTTGTAGACAATAAAAGTATTACCCAAGTTAGACGATTTTTTTGCATGTATATATTTTTATGTCTTTTTATTTTATACATATTCTACACTCCGCATTTTTCACACTCGAAAAAAGTGAAAAAATGCTATGCTTAAGCTACAACATACTGAGAGTAATGTCTCGCTCGTTTGATTCTTCTGTTTACCTTTTACCTTTTTGTTTTTAACGTTGAAACCATGAAGCCCCAAAAGCACCTCCTAGCACAGGATTTTAATCATATCCTGTGCGTTATTCTTGTGGGTGTTTTGTTGTTCACACCCAAACTAGGAACGTGACATGCTCTGACAAGGTCTAGTATAAAATAAGTTCCTATGATGTATTTTGTAGTTTTATCCTTATGAAGTCGAAACCGGTCGATTGATAAACTCAATACTACAAAACAAGTTGCTGTGTGCTGCCCACTAGTTCTCTTATAAAATTATAAATTTTTCCACACTCCGCATTTTCCACACTCCTCATTTTCCATACTCCTCTTTTTCCACACTCCTCATTTTCCACACTCCTCATTTTCCACACTCCGCATTTTATACACTCCCCATTTTCCACACTCCTCATTTTCCACACTCCTCCTTTTCCACATCCCTCTTTTCCACATTCCTCTTTTCCACATTCCTCTTTTCCACATTCCTCTTTTCCACATTCTTTATTTTCCACATTCTTCATTTTCCACATTCTTCATTTTCCACACTCCTTATTTTCCACATTCTGCATTTTCTACACTCCGCATTTTCTACACTCGGCACTTTCCACACTCCTCATTTTCCACCTAACCGTTTAACGCGAGTTTTTCTTTCCGGTTGCGGTTTTAAATTTTCTGTGGTTTTTCGGACGGCAAAAATGAAAATTTCGCCTAAGTGCGACCTATGCCTGTGTCTCCATGTCGCGCGGAAACACGAAATGTAGGAATTCTTCTCAAAAGGCACCCGCAAAGGTAGAAAGTAATCTAGCAAAATACTACTATTACCAGTACGGTTTGATCTTCAGGGCTACTAATAGAGCTTGTCAGATCTGTGCGACTGTAATTGGTTAGATTCTAGAAGCCTCCCAATAAATAAAACTTCATTGCGTTGAATCTTTTTCAGTCAATCAGCGGAAACCAGTTTGCCGATCATCGAAACCGAAGCCCGAAATGCTTTTTAGCACCAAATGTCACGTTATTTACTTTTCATAAGAACTATTTAACCAAAAATAAACATACCTTCCATCTTAGCGTCGGTTAGAAAGAGATGGAAAACTTTAGATCGCGGGCTTCGGACTCAGTACATCTCCCTTGAGAGCTCAGACTGACTCATATGAAGCTACGTGACGTATTTGGCATCAAGCCACTGGGCACGATTGGCTGTAAGATGCTCGGACTAGTTGAACCGCCCTAGCTTTGCACCTAGTGTTCTGTTTTGGAGGTGTCAGCCAGATTATTAGCTATTACTTGGCGCAAAACAACGTATCCTACTAATAAAAGAGAGATTCCGGAAAATTTAG